TCCAGATTTGGGGGGGGAGGGGGAGCAAGTGATTGTACTACCTCTACCCGATGCCAATTACATAAGGCTAGAGGTAATCTATCGGTTTTCAGCGGATGTGGCGATCAACCGGCAGATAGAGGGCTAGTGATTAGCCGCTGGCGGGGCTCGAGGGCACAACGGGACAACTGTGTTCCGTAGCACTGTCGATGAGTGCTCTAATGCCATTGGTAGGATAACAAATCCATGGCTAAAGGTTTAGAGCCTTAGACTTCCAACCAAGAAGTCCTCGGCTCGCGCCTGAGGAGGTGCAACACCTGGGGTTGGACATGGCTGGTTGATGACGACTTATAAGCCAGAAATTGTCATTACAGATTCCCTTGTCTTTGTTGAGAATGGTCTTATGCCTATAATACTAGTCACAGAGCGGCTGCCGGTGGGCCTCAAAATTGAGTCCCAAGGCAAGATATGACGAGTGTGTTCGAAAATTCGATCGGTGAATGCGCCTATACCGGAGTGCTGACAGATAACCCAGATAAATTCCACGAAAAAAAATACGGAGACTATATTAGTAGAGGTCAGACACTGAAGCTGAAGCATCCCTTGCATGATAACAATTTAATCCGCCTGATGTTCAGGGCTTACAGTCAAAAGCATCATATGGGTGTAGTGGTTAAGAAATTGCTGCAATAAACGATTCAAATGCCGAAGATCAAACCATCATCGCGTCAGAAACGTGAATTTTAAACGTTTGGCAAATACAATTTACGTTCTAGTGATCGAATATCCTGCTGAATTCCCTTCCCGAACAACGTCCTTACCTGCAAAATGGACCTTAGCAGTGGCTCTTTTGTCTCCTCGTCTTTCGAAATAGTACTTTTTTACGCAAACACAGAAAAATACATCATCTAGGTTGTTGTAAACTAGGCAGGGAATTTTGCCGATTATGGTATCCATGGGAAGCCGATTTGGCACCTGTGCTCATGTTCTCTTCTCAAAGTTGTAAACCCCGTTAAGCTAACCATTCCATTTGTGGCTTTATCTAAGGACTTCGGATGATACGTTATTTGTTACGTTTTTGCACTTTAGAGAAGACGCTGATTTAGTCATCGGCAGCTTACATTTCGGTTGATTTGGTTCATATGTTTGCTATGAAATGCCAACAGCAAACTATCTGGGGCACTGTGTATCGGTCCACATGGTAGCATGTGAAACTCCTTAACCGCCCGCTTGATGGAGAGATGATTACTCACCTAGAGCCTGGCACTTCAAACTGCAGTCCATATCCGAAACATCGACTAGAGTCCTATTTTCTAAACCATTCTTGGTGGAGCACTAAAAACGCTGAAAGTTAAAACCTCGTGGACACGATTCTTTAGTTCTTTTCAGAGTTAGACTTTGGGTAAATCCTTTGCAACTATCTTGCGACAAGGATATCATGGTATTCAGGCGGCTGAGCAAAAAACTACCAAATTCGTTAATTTTTGCTAGGAGAGAGTAGTGACTGTCCTTTATTACTGTTAACTCTACTGTCTTCACCTTTTTGGGGACCCCTCACCAGAAGGACCGTTTTGCCGAAGGAGTTGCAAAAACGTTTCATCGCACTCTCAGGCTACCAACATAAGGTATAAGACGACGCCACTTACCTAATACCACAATTTTGTTAGCTACTCGTTAGGTACCATTTGGAGGGAATTCGTAATTGCCTTGGTGTGAATGGTCTTGAAGGACTGTTACGGTACTTGTATTTGATACGGCTGCGATCGTGTGTGATCTAGCCGGCCTCAATTATGTCAGGGACAGAACCTATTCACTCATGCCGATTAGCGGCAACGGACCTGGAAAGTTCGACCCATTCTTTTCTTCAGCGACGGCGACTGAAAACCGAAGGTCCAAGAACCAATGCCTTGTCTGAACGAACAGGTCCAGCCAAGTCTTGCGTTGCCCTCTTCTTAGAAGTCTTCAGATGGGTTGCGGCGCCGGATCGGTGGCAGCATAGCAAAACTCGTGACGCGGACGATGGAGAACGTACTTAAACCCCTCAATCGTCTTACATGGATAGCCTGAACTATCCTCGCGATATTGCCACAGCGAGTGCGGACTGTCTCATGTGAGATGAAGTCAGTATACTTCACTTGAAGGATAGTCCTCATGCA